TTTAATCACTTTATTAAAAGTTCACACAAATAAAGCCTGAGATCAGCAAAAGCATTTAACATCTGAGCAAAATAAATTAGTTAAAATAATCTGACTCTTGTTTTTTCTGCTGTTTATATATAGAAACAATGAACTGGAGTCTTTTTTTTTTTAAACTTTATTTTCATTTATTTTTAACAACACATGTCCACAGCTGCATTCGTCTGTGTCTTACTGACATATATCTTCTGCAATATAAGTTGACAAAGGAAGATGAGACATCAAATGATCTAACACAAGCAATAAGGAATACATAACAGAGTACAAACAGAAGACAAATAACAAAATACAATAAATACAAGACACAATTAAATCCCCTCTGACGTCCACACATTCTTAAACACCATGCTATTTTAAACATACAAGTGCAAAAGGGCTGTAAATGTGTCATTGAATTAATGACAGGGCTCCACCTTATATTAAAAACTGTTTTTGAAGCCTTAAGGAATATGTGATTCCTTCCACCAGATAAATGTCCCAGATTTATGGTATCCATGTGTTATATGTAGGAGGCCCTGGTTTCAGCCACCTGATAGTTATACATATCTATCACCCTTCCTGTCTATTCCATCAGGTATTACTCCCAGAACTGCCACCAAGGGAGTTTTTGCAACATTTCTCCTGAAAATAACACTGAGAGCTTCAAAAATGTCCTCCCAAAACCCACTTAGTTTAGGACAAGACCAAAAGATTTGTAACTGGATTCTTTTAAATTGGTTTTGTTTATTATCTGGTTATTTCACTTTTTACCATTTTGGTTGTTTTTGTCTCTGAAATAATAATAAAAAAATCTCAGAAAAGAGAAACAATGAGCATCCAAAGGGGATCATTTAAACTTCAGTTCCCGACCCCTGAATCAAAAGACTAAGTTATCGGATTCCCCACAAGCTGCGGTTGCCAGTTCTACTGTATTCACACGCTAAGATTCTGGCAACTGCAGCCGCAGGCATGTTACCGTAAGTTAGCCGTTTTTTTACGGTGTGCCCATGCCTGACTGCTGGCATGGGGATTTCCAGCAGTCAATGGGTAAAGGGAAGGGTAAACTTGAACAGGTCATCCTCATCATCATCATCATACCAACACAAAGACAAACCACAATGTCGACACTCACAATAACTAACTGCAGTTTTGAGTCATCATCCACCAGACTGTGGTGTTTTAATACGGAGAGGAAGCAGCTCCACCATGCAGAGGCTTTTCTACCGTTTACTATTATCTACCGTTTAGTTTCCCACTCCTCTCTTCCTCTTCTGTCAGTTTTTTAAGTATCTAAAAACTCTAGATTATGCAACACTTGGAGGCAAAATTAGTTTTTTAATTTATTAAGTTTATCTTTCACAAACCAGAGGTTAAAAATCTAAAACTCACAAAATTCATTTGACTTGCAGAGAAGATGCAATTCAAATGTTTTACAGTGTAATGACATATTTAAGACTGATTATTACTATATTACTGTTTTATTATCTCCTTTACAGACCCAGCTTGGTTTTAGCGGTGCTGCATTAAAATGATTCGGGTCTCATTTATCATTTATCTCAATCAACTGTCTGTTTAAAGCCATTCCACATGGTTTTCACATGAAACTCTCATTTAGAAACTAAAAAACAGTTGAAGCACTGAGTTCCTTCAAATCAAATCTGTTTAGAGTTGCTACTGGAACATTGATCAACATATTGGATGATTTTGATGATGTCACTCACTGGTTTCTCAATTTGCGACTGCATGATGTTTTTCCGACTTTTTGTGATTTTCTCATGTGAAGCACTTTGAACTGAACTGCATTGTTGCTGAAATGATCTACACAGATAAACCCGACTGACCCAACTTGACTCACATGAGTTCATCTCAGGTCCAGCAGCTTGAATTCACGACAGACACAAGGAAGGAGGAAATGAATCTGGTGGTCGACGTCAGTCCTGCAGCTTCTGCTCCTATTCATTAAATAAAACATAATAAATAACCTTAAACAAACCAGAAGGAAATGGGCATTTGGCATCAGTTAGCTGCTAGCTAACAGCAGTTAGCGTCAGATAGCATTAGTAAAATCAAACATAGGTAAAATGGACAACATTAATGATGATAACTCCCCTGAATGCATCAGAGGAGTCCCTGAATGCACCATATGGACGAGTCTGGACTTGATTTGTGTTAAATTTGTAGTTGTAAAACAGTGTGATCGTCTGCCGTGGTGACGATCACACTGTTTGTTGTTAGCAAACGTTTAACAGAGCTCCAACTCACTGCTGATGTCCCAGAGCTTTGTTGACGTTTGAAAAGCTGCCACTGCAGTGCAACCCACTTCATGCATCTGGTTCATTGTGGTCGCTTGTTTCGACTTATCAGCACAATCTCAAGTTTCATTCTCATGATGAAAACGTCTTTAGATTTTTTTATCTGATAGTTTCCTGCAACTTTATCTCTGAGTGATCTGACATATGAAGGGGTCTCCTCTGTGAGAAAAGCAAACTCATGTTAAGAACTGTGTCAGGCTGCATGACAATGTGGTTTGTTGATTCCTTAAAATGACATCCTTGGACGTGACCCCAGAAACAAGAGATCGATTCCTGCTTTGTTAGTTTGAAGCACCAACATTCAGCAGCAGGTAAACTGTTTTACTGCAGAGCAGATCAAAAACACGGACGACTTCAACCATCAGCACCAAAACGTTTCTGCCATCTTGGCTCCTCATTGTATCTCCTGGTAACAAACTTTTTTCTTACGTTTTTGTTGGGGGGGTTTATTCACAAACCCAGAAAAAATTATTCTCTGATCTTTTATTTAGTGATTTAACTGAGTGTTGCTAGTTATGGACAAATTAACTTTTGCACATTGGTGAGTTGCCTTTGTTTATACATATTTGTGTATTTTAAACTCTAGTGTTGGATCCATTCCTTCATCTATTGTTATTTTAATGCCTGAATCTTATTATGTATGAACAACAAGCAAGAACTGAGGCTGAAGAATTTGTATATTATTTTTTAATAACCAGTCAGTGAGTAACCTTGGTAGTTTTGATCTTAATTACTAGGTTTGTTAATAACTTTCTGTCAAGTTGAGTTAATGAGATCATGGAGAGTTTTAACAAAAAGCATGGCCGCCCTGTAAGAACAGCAACTATAAATACAGGTTAGTGAGCTCCCTCTGGTGGAAGAGTTATTCATCAACACACTAATTGGCTTTTTTTTTGTTTTGTTTGTTTTTTTAAATGATGATATAATTTTACAGAATACTGATTCATTTCATGTATGTCATTGCAGAACAATTATTTGTTTCCTGTGCTTTAGGAAAAACAAATTCTTTACTGCAAAAGAAACATAATATTGTGTTCATTGGCATCACTAAAGAAGTCCCTGAACGCATCAGAGGAGTCCCTAAAGCCTTTGCAGCTCAGCTGGTTGTGCAGTGGTCGGCAAAACATCTGATTCTGACTCTGCTCAGCCTCAGTCTGATCAGACGCCAAACTGATCGCTGATCTTGTAAAGTTATGACCGTTGCTTTACTTGACTCTTACAATCTATTTCAGACGTTTGCGTTTATGTAAATTGCAGCCACTCAGTTCATAGTATCTGCAACATCTCCAGTTTCGTTCCCATGCTAGAAGCGGCTTTTAGTTTTCAGCCGTCTGTCATTAAATCTATCAATGAACAATCTAACTGAGAAATTTCACCAGCTGATGGGAAACTAGTAGTAAGAACCGGTTCAGGCTGCGTCAGAGTCTGGTAGATAAGAATGTGGCTTTCATGTCTTTCAGGTCATATTCTAGGTTAATATCTCAAATGCAGATGTTTCTGCATACTCCAGTTCCTGTTAGATCCTTTCTGCTCACTGATTTTAATAACGTTGTAGGGGCGGCTGCAGTTTGTATATAATAAATGGTTTCATTCAGATCTGGTTGGTTTTACAGCAGACATGCTGACGGGTTTCACCATCAGGGGGAAAATGTTTCTGACCATCACGGCCGTCTGGATCTTCCTCTCTCTCGCTGCCGGTAAAGTAGATTTTAAAGCTTTGGGACGATTCAACGTTTTACGCAAAGATACTTGCTGAGTCAGCTTCTGGTGTGTTTAAGTGCAAACATGCTAAACTGACAGTCACTACGAGGAGTTAAAAGTTTATTTTCTGAAATTATTGCAGCATAATGTTCTTTAGCAACATAGATATTTGTTCAGTTCCACAAAACTAATTTCAATAACTGGAATTTGAAGAAACGGGATCTATGGTTGCACTTTGTACACAAAAACATTTTAATTCATTTTAATGCGTTTAAACATGAGATTACAACAAAAACGTTAATTTAGGACATTTGACAGAAAAGCAAAGAGCTTTGATTCAGATCTGTTCTCATATCGACTCCAGTAAGACTTAATTAGTTCTAGAAATAAAATTACTTTTAAAGTGAAAATATAACAAAGTTCTCATAGAATCATAAATATATCTTGAAAGTTTTGCAGTATTTTGCTTATTTTACTGGATATATTGCCTTTGTAACAGTTAGGTACCTTATTAAAATTGAATCTCATATTATGATCGTTAAAGAACAAATTTCTGCTGTAAAAGATGAACAGAGTGTTTGGAATTAAAATATAGAGAAATAAAAGAATTCAAAAAACAGTTCTACTTGTGCAGATGAAATTCCCTGTTAATTTGGTTTAATTTACAATAAATAAAATAAAAACATCTAAAAATTTATTACAAATGTTCAAAGTTAGCAAAAACTTATAACTCAGCTTTTTCAATGTCTTAGTTTGATTTTAATGAGGTTATTTAAATGATCATTTAAATAAAGCTGTAAGGTTTTCAGTAACTTTTTAAAGTTAATTTTTCTTATTTCAAATGTAACAAGATATTTGCAACAGAAACTAGATTAAGAATACTTGGGAAGATTTTGTGTTTTTGCAGTGCACTTGATTGAAATAACAGAAAATTATTTGTTGCAGGCAGATGTCTTGTATGTCCAAACTGCTGTTATAAGGGGTCAGACGAGGTCAGGGGGGAAATCGTAAAGTGTTTTGAACAGAAACCAGGACCAGCCTGTGCTAAACACTTCTATATGTGAGTAGAAAACAAATTCAGCTCTCCATCTTCTTCCTTCTCTTTCAGCTCTGATCAATTTTTCTGTAGATGTTAACACGAGCGCCACCTAGTGGTGTAATTTCATATCAGCTGTAACACCTGGAGAAATGAACGTTCATAAGATTAGAAAAGTATTGCAGGATATTTGTGAACCAGCTAATTTATAAGAACTGAACTAAATGCTCACTCTGTTTGTTGTCATCTAATTTTAAATGTTTATTTTTGCTTTGCTTCTCTCTCTGTAGTGTTGTGGTCAATAGTGGAGAACATCTTTGCATCAACCCGGATTCCCAATGGCTGAAAAACAAGAGAGACCAGGTGATAAAAACATTATCAAGTCAAAAACAATTTAAATTTATTCTCATTTCTCCACTGCTTAAACATGGAAACCTTAGAACTTCAGGATGAACAAAGTTTAGACCAATTTCGAATTATATTTTATATAATATTTCAGTTAATCTTGTATTTCAGTGATTGGTTGTTTTATATAAAACTCAATCAGTCCAGAAAAGTAATAAATTAGGCCAAGATGTAAACATGTGCTCAGTTATACTACTTATATATGCAGCTTCTAGAGTAAATTATAACTTTTGGTGATGCAAACACTGACAAAGGACTATCTGTGCATGAATTATTGGAAATATTCACAACTAAGAGGACTAAAAATGTGTAAGTTTTCTGTTTTACAAAAAATATGTAAATATTTGTTTTTTTCTTTTTCTCATCACAGGAAAAGTTGAGCTGCAGCTCAACTGACGAGCCAGAATTAGATGTTGGAGCAAAAACAAAAGGAAAGAAACATCGATTTCCCTTTATTAACACAAACATATAAACTTCTGCTTAAGAAACTTTAGCAATGCAGAAATAATTCTGGTTGTTGGTCAAAATCATCCATTTGTTTTGGTCAAAAGGGAAGCAGATTGTTTGTCTCTGTAATTAAACGTGTTTTTTTGTTTGTTTGTTTTTACATTTGGGATTATTGTTCCAGTTGAGAAGTATAAGCTTTGGTTTGAGATCATTTCACTTCTCAGCTTTGCAGCTAAACGGCTCACCTTGGATGTGGCACTAAAATGATCAAAAACATGCTAATGTTCGAGCTGGCTAGCTAAAGTTAGCATATTAGCATGCTAATTGTTATGACTGTTGCCAAATGTCCATCTGAGCCAGCAGGTCAGTTTGAAAGTTTATAGGAAAACTGTGAAGAAGTTAATAAAAATTCTAATATATGTTGTATATTATTGTACTATTATTATTATCATTATTGTTGATATTATTTATAGTAATAATTATTATAATTTTTATTGCTGTTACTATAAGTTATCAGAATAACTGAATCTTGAAGACATCTTGGTCCAATGTTAAAAAACGAGGTTTAAATAAATACTTTTCACCAACACAAACATTTCCACTCATGTTTTATGAATATTTAATATTTCATCATTACACCTACAAATGGTATCTGGACCCCCAGGTTATTTGTCCAAACACCAGGGAGAGGACACAGTTAAGACAGGTGAGTCACTTCATATTAGCACTCCGCACTTAACAGATCATGCACAAACATTTGCTCAGTTGTACTCATTAGTAGGTCATTGCTCTGAGTAACAATTAACCTCCCTTTATAGGAAACCACCTCACCTCTCAGTGAGGAGCGGCTGTGCAGAGCCCAGAACAGAACGCTGCATGCCAACCACTAAAAATACTCAGTTAATACAATTAAAACTTTTTGTGTGCAAACAGTTATATCTGCAAAGTGCTTGTTAATAAAGAGTAAAAAGTGCTTTTCCATTTGGCCTTATTTAGACTATATTGTTCATATTCTGATCATATTTTACGAAATGTTCTAAAATCACCCAGAAGCCTCTGTGCGATCAGACTCTACATCTGTTATAGGAAATTAAATCTACTTAAGATCTTTATGTTAATTATGGCTGCAACAGTTTTGTTCCTATGGTGGGAAAGACGTTTCTTTATGTGGGCTCATTAAAACTATCAATGATAATCGAACAGAAGTTCTACAAACTGACGGGGTTCTGGTTCAGACCGTTTTATGAGAAAGTGGTTTGCACGTCTTTCAGATTGTATCCACGGTCACTATCTGAGACATTTCCCGTTCAGATATCTCTGCTCAGTTCCTGCTGTCATGATCATTGGTTATAGAGCGCTGAAGGTTGGAGGCGGCTGCATTTCTCAGCAGGTAACGAAGCGCTTCGGACCAGAGATCCAGTCGGTTCCGCTGCACAGCAGAACCGGACAACTTTCAGCACCATGAGCAAAATGTTTCTGCCCATCGTGGCCGTTTGGATCCTCCTGGCCGACGGTAACGTAGATTTACAACAACTGGAGTTTATCGAGATATTAGGCATCAAATGTACATTTTTAACTGCAGTAGATTGAGCTGGTTTATAAAATGCAATCATTTGGTCTAAAAGACTATTTTTGATCCGTGGCACATTGCAGCTTATGCACAAAAACACGAGATTGCAACCTACGGGTCATCTTAGGACAATATTCATAAAAGCAAACGGGTTTGATTTGGATCTGTTCTCACATCCTCTGCAGTAAGAAACAAGGGAGGAAATACCATTTTGGGGCGTAGCAGTAAAGAGACACATTTTTAAGAACAATTTTGTGGTTATTGGAAGTTAAATTGAAATATAACAGAAAACCTGGTTTCACAAGTTCTTTATGTGTTGAAGCTGCAGGTCCAAAAATACCTAATAAGTTTTAATGAGTATCTCCCATTAATAAAATTCACTTAAAAATTTATTATATTTTTCTTAAATGGTGGATTTATTTTGTTTTTTGTCTCTTTTGTCTTTTCATCTTGATAGTTTAAATAAAATTTAACAAAACTCTCGCATTTCTTTCATCAAAATGAACAAGCAAATCCAAAACTCTTTAAAACTACAAGAGAATTAACAGTTAGCTTTGTGTTCATCCTGAGCTTCCTTTTTTATTTAAATCGTAAATCATGAATGAACAAAACGCTGTTTTAAAAGCTTAAAAGAAAACCTAAATATTTGAAGGTAAATAAAAAAGAATTTATGACATTCTGGGGTTTTTTTTTTTAAAGATTTTTGGACATTATCGAAATATCTGTCTGTCAAACTCAAATTACAAAATGTGCCTCATTCAATCTGATTGCAAATAATATCAATAAACTTCTGTCAGTAAATGTATGAAGATTTGCTGTTAAATATGTTTGAGTTTTTAATTAATGATTGATTAAAAGAGCAAGACATTATCTGAAAACTTTGTTCTATTGCTCTCATATTTTGCTTTTTCCTTCGTGCTTTTCTGTTGCAGGCAGATGTTTTAACTGCCCACGGTGCTGTGATAAGGGGTCAGACGAGGTCAGGGGGGAAATCGTAAAGTGTTTTGAACAGAAACCAGGACCAGCCTGTGCTAAACACTTCTATATGTGAGTAGAAAACAAATTCATCCCTCCATCTTCTTCCTTCTCTTTCAGCTCTGATCAGTTTTTCTGTAGATGTTAACACGAGCGCCACCTAGTGGTGTAATTTCATATCAGCTGTAACACCTGGAGAAATGAACGTTCATAAGATTAGAAAAGTATTGCAGGATATTTGTGAACCAGCTAATTTATAAGAACTGAACTAAATGCTCACTCTGTTTGTTGTCATCTAATTTTAAATGTTTATTTGCTTTGCTTCTCTCTCTGTAGTGTTGTGGTCAATAGTGGAGAACATCTTTGCATCAACCCGGATTCCCAATGGCTGAAAAACAAGAGAGACCAGGTGATAAAAACATTATCAAGTCAAAAACAATTTAATTTATTCTCATTTCTCCACTGCTTAAACATGGAAACCTTAGAACTTCAGGATGAACAAAGTTTAGACCAATTTCGAATATATTTTATATAATATTTCAGTTAATCTTGTATTTCAGTGATTGGTTGTTTTATATAAAACTCAATCAGTCCAGAAAAGTAATAAATTAGGCCAAGATGTAAACATGTGCTCAGTTATACTACTTATATATGCAGCTTCTAGAGTAAATTATAACTTTTGGTGATGCAAACACTGACAAAGGACTATCTGTGCATGAATTATTGGAAATATTCACAACTAAGAGGACTAAAAATGTGTAAGTTTTCTGTTTTACAAAAAATATGTAAATATTTGTTTTTTTCTTTTTCTCATCACAGGAAAAGTTGAGCTGCAGCTCAACTGACGAGCCAGAATTAGATGTTGGAGCAAAAACAAAAGGAAAGAAACATCGATTTCCCTTTATTAACACAAACATATAAACTTCTGCTTAAGAAACTTTAGCAATGCAGAAATAATTCTGGTTGTTGGTCAAAATCATCCATTTGTTTTGGTCAAAAGGGAAGCAGATTGTTTGTCTCTGTAATTAAACGTGTTTTTTTGTTTGTTTGTTTTACATTTGGGATTATTGTTCCAGTTGAGAAGTATAAGCTTTGGTTTGAGATCATTTCACTTCTCAGCTTTGCAGCTAAACGGCTCACCTTGGATGTGGCACTAAAATGATCAAAAACATGCTAATGTTCGAGCTGGCTAGCTAAAGTTAGCATATTAGCATGCTAATTGTTATGACTGTTGCCAAATGTCCATCTGAGCCAGCAGGTCAGTTTGAAAGTTTATAGGAAAACTGTGAAGAAGTTAATAAAAATTCTAATATATGTTGTATATTATTGTACATATTATCATTATTGCTATTATTATTATCATTATTGTTGATATTATTTATAGTAATAATTATTATAATTTTTATTGCCGTTTGCTGTTAATATAAGTTATAAGTTGCATCAGAATAACTGAATCTTGACGAAATCTTGGTCCAATGTTACAAAATGAGGTTTAAATAAATTCTTTTCACCAAACATAAACATTTCCACTTATGTTTTATAATATTAATATTTTGTCGTGCTTTTCTGTTGCAGGCAGATGTAATGTATGCCCAGACTGCTGTTTGACGGGGTCAGACGAGGTCAGGGGGGAAATCGTAGAGTGTTATGAACAGAAACCAGGACCAGCCTGTGCTAAACACTTCTACAGGTGAGTAGAAAACAAATTCATCCCTCCATCTTCTGCTGAAAATGCAATATTTTTGTAATTTTATGAATGTGAGTTTCTCCAGGCGTTACAGCTAAAGTGGAGTAAGACCACTAGATGGCGCTCATATTAGATTTAAAGGAAAATTAATCAGATCTCAAAGCTGAAAAATAATTTTACTCACCAGCTAATTAATGATTTTGATCACAACATTCGAATTAACTAAATGATCCCTCATGTTTATGCAATAATCATTATATTGTCTAACTTTGTGTTTCACTCTTTGTAGGGTTAAGATCAAACATGGTGTTAAATATTTGTGCATCAACCCAAATTCCAAATGGTTCGAAGGAGTGAAAACACAGGTGAGCCTGAACGATAAACCACTGAGCCAATCCAACAATTTAATGAAATTTCATTATGATCATTTTGTTGTGCTGTAAAAACTATTGGCCTCTAGTATTTCTTCTATTTTATATATTTGGTTCATATTTTTTTCTCTGCTATATGAAAAGTTTTATATTATTACGTACACCAGTATGTGGACCTTAAAAAACAAGTACGTTTTCTCTTTAAAAGAAGTTAGTATTTGATTTTCTCTTTTTTCATCACAGAAAAACCTAACTTGCAGCCCAGGAGTGGCGCATCGTGGACACAAATTACATGTTACAGCAAAACCAAAAAAGAGAAGCTCTGACCACCCTGCGTTACTGACTGCTACAGGAAAAACAGAAGCTTGAAAACATCTGCTTCAGAGACATCAGCAGTGTTTTTCATAGATCTCAGTAGGAAACAAACATGTTTTATGAGTTTAGAGAAACATGAAATTTATGATAGTTAACGACTTTCTGTCCTCCAAATCCATAAATGTACATTTATTCTCACTTCTAAATATTCAGCCCTCTGATAAAGGAACTCTGCTTATTCAAAAGATGTCAAACAAAATTTTATGAGTTTATTTTCTTTTCATCTTTCGTTTTCATTTTGCTATGTTAATCAGATTATTTGTATTCAAAAGATGTTATATTTTATGCTTTCATAAACTTGTAATTAAGTTGTTTTTTTTTAATTCTTCAATATTCAATACAAATATAAAATCAATAAACATTAACAGTATGTTGGTTTTTCTTTTGATCAGCTCTGAAATGTATTTTATCAAAAACCCAAATAGTCAAAAATCTGATTCTTTTTCTAAACATTTTTTATATTTGTCTGTTTCTTATTTACACCTTTTTGTGAGTGAAAGGTTCAACAAGTGATTTGGTTTGTGGTCACTTCCTCCTCCTACTTTGCAACAAGAACATCTTTCACAATCTGAGCTCCAACCATTGAATAATTTCTGATGCCAACGTTAAAACGATCAAAAGCTTCTGTCACAGTATGCTAGCTAACAACAACAAGACAAACAACACAGACCTGTGCGTTTGTTAAATGAAATTAACAACATGATGAAACACAAAATAAAATCTCTGCATATGAAAAGCAACATACTAATAAAGATGAATCATGTGCAATACGAGAGGATGGACGAGTATCAGTAACAAATCACGGCACAATATGAGCTAAAAAAGGCCTCGGACTCTTAATGAGAATCTAATCTGGTTCACATTGTTGATTGTGTCTGTGACAGTTAGCTGTGACTAATCTGAGACGTTTTACAAACTAATAGAAAGAAAAAGTTCCTATTATCTGTCACTGTCTGAGACATTTCCCGTTCAGATATCTCTGCTCAGTTCCTGCTGTCATGATCATTGGTTATAGAGCGCTGAAGGTTGGAGGCGGCTGCATTTCTCAGCAGGTAACGAAGCGCTTCGGACCAGAGATCCAGCCGGTTCCGCTGCACAGCAGAACCGGACAACTTTCAGCACCATGAGCAAAATGTTTCTGCCCATCGTGGCCGTTTGGATCCTCCTGGCCGACGGTAACGTAGATTTACAACAACTGGAGTTTATCGAGATATTAGGCATCAGATGAGTCAATATTCTACATTTCTGACTGCAAACGGGATGCAGCAGACTGAGCTTGTTCATAAAATTAATAATTTGGTCAAAAAGACTATTTTTGATTAAAAGGAGAAATTTCAACAGAGTGGTCTATGGGACAAAAATATGCGAATTAAATTCAACCTGTTTAAATATCAGAGATTTTAGGACATTTTACAGAAAATCAAACGGGTTTGATTCAGATCTGTTCTCACATCATCTGCAGTAAAAATGACTAACAGCAAATACTTTCAGAGATAAAACTGGTATTTCTTTCATCACAAGTGTAATTTTTATTATTTTCTTCAATCTGACATCCAGTCTGCCATGTTTCAGTCAACCAGGAGACTAGAAATGTTGGATATTATTGATATAAAGGTTTAGAAACATTAGAAACTGTCAGTAAAACATCAATAACTCTTGTAAATATATGCAAAACCAATCATTTATCAAACCTTCTGTCAGTAAATGTATGAAGATTTGCTGTTAAATATGTTCTACTTTTTAATTCATGCTTGATTGCAAGAAGAAAAAATGACTTGTGAAAATATTCCTGGTATTTTTTGTTTTCTGTCGCAGTCACGTGTCAGCAGAATGTGTCGCCACACTGCTGTGACAGTGGGACAGACGAGGCCAACGGGGAAATCGTAAAATGTGTGGAACAAAAAAAAGGACCCGCCTGTGACAAACACTTCTACATGTAAGAACTGCATCTTCTTCCCCTCCGTTTGAGCGCCATCTAGTGGCGTAATCTCATATCGGCTGTAACACTTGAGAATTACTGAAATATTGCAGCATTTATTTATCTTATCTGATTTTACATTCAGCAATTAATTTACCCGATAATTTATGATCTATGTAAGAACATTGGACTGAATTAAGTAGTCAATCTATGTTTATATTGTGCAAGTTACATTTTGGGCATTTTAAATGTTTATTTTTGCGCTTCATATAGTGATAATGAAGTTGTCTAACTTTTAAATTTTACTCTTTGCAGCCTTGAGCTCAAAGACGGTAAAAAGATTTGCATCAAACCAGGATCCAACTGGTTAAAACAAAAGAGAGACACGGTGAGTCTCAACTAAAAAAACATCAAAAACAATTTAATTAAATTAACTTTTTATTTATTAAACTGTAAAACATAGATTTGTTCTTTTTTTTGTTTATTTTTTGGTCAAACTGAAATGTTTCATGTCAACAAATGAATCAAAATAAGAGACAAAAACAAGCAGAGTCAATAGAGCACACTTTTGTTTTATTTAATTAACCGATTGATTTGTTTCAATGAGGAATCTGCCAATAACAATATGGAGACTAATCTAGATTATTTTAACTTAAAACAGAAACCTGACACATTTTCATAGTTTCTTTTCTTTTTCTTCGCAGGAAAACTTAACGTGCATCCCGTCTGACGGGCATCATCAACAGAAACTACATGTTGCAGCAAAACCAAAAAAGAAGCACTGACGTCCCCGTTCTACTGACTGCTACAGGAAAAACTGACGCTTCTAATCCTCTGCTTAATAAAAATGATCAATGCATTGATAACGTTTGTTCCCCGATCAGCTCCGACCCGCTCTGCTCAAAAAGCCAAACGATGAAATTGTTTTCCTTCTTTATTAAATCTTTCAAAACTGACACATTTTTCTCCTTCCTGTGAATCTGTCAATTAATTAACAATGCAGCTTGTTTTGAGTTTAATAGAAATGTGATAAAGTTCTGGAGATGCATTACGGGTTGACTCACAAACAGATTTAATCTTTAATCTACTACGACTCTGAAGGAACGTAAAGGTCGGGGTTTTTCCCTTTTATTCTCAATCTTTATTACATTTACTTATTGAATTAGATCTAAATTTGCATCAATGAGTTTAAAGGTTATTAAAAAAATTGGAAAGTGTAATTTCTACAATTTAGTTTGATACATTTGGGAATAACTGTTTGCAGTTGAAGGCGTAATAAAATGTTATGTTAGATTTTGTGTTTGATGTCAAAACCTTTAAATCAAGACAAACCCAAATTACAAGCAACTTTACAATCAGAAATACCAGATTGTTTCAGGCCAATTATTCCTTAATGTTTTAAAAAAGATGATTTCACTTCCCACATTTTTTTATCAGTGAAATGACCTGCAAGCTGAAATATGGATATTTTAAACAATATTAAGGTTTTTTTGGTTTGCTTTTACCTAAAACAGGCTCCTACATCTTACTGAAAAGTTACTTGTAGGTTAGTTTTGCCAAGTATTAAGATATTTGCACCAAAAACTAGACACAAATATTTGGTATCATGATGGTAGTACTGCTGTGCTACATGCTAACAATAGAAACCTCAGTATTTTCTGTTTTTTTCTATTGATCCACATAAAGCTGATAAAAACTTTTATTATTTCAGTTATTAGTGAGAAACCTGTTCCTTTGACTTTATCTTGGAAACTGTGTAAAAGTGTGTATACTCAAAAACACACTGCGTGTTTGAATAACTTGTTATCTGATTCCAAATTACGCAAGTGGTGACAGTGAGGAGAGATTACCTGGGCTTACGAGAAGAAATGCCACAGAACCAGGATGAGAATAATCTGACAGGTTTTGTAGGAGGAGAAAAAACGCAGTTGACTGTCTGAGACTCTGAGGTTCAGAGTAAAAACGGAAAACAAAGCCCTACACTGCAAAAACACTAAATATTACTTCTAGTTTCTACTGCAAATATCTTGGAACAATTTAAATAAGACAAGTAACCGTTAATCAGATATGAGCTTGTTTTAAGTCAATTAATACTATAACAAGACATTGTCTATCTCCCTTTACTTTTTAATGTATATTCAAGAATTATTTACTTAAGTAACTTATTTCCCTTGCTGAAAAGTCACTTTTGAGTTAGTTTTGTCTTATTTCATGTCTATTAATATATTTGCAGTAGAAATTAGACCAGAAATGCTTGATAAGTTTTCATGTTTTTAATGTTTTGCAGTTTTGTATTGATCATTGTTCCTACAGCTCTTAATATTGATGCACAAATTAATCCTTTAACTGATCTTTGATTAGAGCAAACATGCAAGTCCTGCAGCCTTCACTTTAACAGAAACAACATCTGAAAGGTCACCAACAGTTTATCAACCGAGTCACAGGAGGAAGGAGAGACTGAAGACTTCATCTGATTAACGTTTTCAGCTCAGCGTCTCTGGGTCAACAGAAATGATGTTTCTGAGGCAGCAGAAAATGGACGGACGTCTTCACCATTTCTGATGAGCCTCGGCTGTAAGAGTCAAAGAAAACTTTAAAATCTTTTGCTCCTCTGTCAGCATGAAGTCATAATAACAACAGAACGTCACTAAAATCAAGAAAGAAGTTTGTTTTCTTTTTTAGGGCTTTTGTATATTTAGAAGCCAGAAAAGTTAAAAACTGTTTTAACTTTTTGACCAACGCTCCCTCCACCATGTGAACTGACTCGGCTCACTAACCGCAGCCGATTGGACAATCTGCTTCTTAGAAAGCAGATTTTCATCAGAGTCTTCCTGTTTTTACTCATTCTCTTTTCCTGTCTTTAAATCTTTTTTTTAAAAAGTGCTTCATAAAGTACTTTTATACATGTTTTGCTTTTGGACCAAATACAGCTGAACTGTGAGGAGTTCATTTGTGATGATTTTCTTTTAACTATAACTATCATACGCCCAGAAATACTCGTACTTCCTGGAGATTTAGACTTAAAGGAGACGAATTAAGCAAAATTCCCATTTTACATATTTTTGTATTTCCATCTGAGTCTCTGCTGCTTCTAAAAACACCCAGTGGCTTTTGGGCAACAAGTTCAAGTCTTTTGGTGTCCAGAAAATGAGCCGTTTCAAAAACAACTCCATATGTAACGTTACATAATAAACAAATCACCTAGGTGACCCAGCCTGTTACCTCTGCACGTGCTACAATGGCTGCTGGAAAAGACAAATGTCTTGTTGTTGGCTTGCCATCCAGAAACCACTTGCTGCATTCTTGCTGGTTGTGCAGGTGGCTCCACTTCTGCTTTTCAAAGATGAACAGTTTTATAATTGTGCATCATTTTGCAGCCATTTTCTCTGGGGGCGTGGCCAGCAACAGCTCATTTGG